AGTAGAATAGAACTGAGGTCCATAAATAAAATTTAACATTTATGGGTCAATTTTTGACAAGGGTACCAAGACAATTCAATGGAGAAAGAACTGTTTTTTAACAAACAGTACTGGGACAGCTGGATAAACACATGCAAAAGATAGAGCTGGACTCCTCTCTTACACCATTCACAAAAATCAACTCAACACTAATCAGACCTAAATCTAGGAGCTAAAACTATACACATCTTAGAAGAAAATAGGAATGGTTACATAAATGTGATACCAAAAACACAAGGAGAAAAACCACAAAGAGGAGAACTGAGAAACTGAAGTTCATCAAAATTAAAAACTTGTAAACGATCCTCATCAATAAAGTGAAAATGCAACCTATAGGATGGGAGAAAATACTTGTAAATTGTGTATGTGATAAGGAGCTTATAAGAACTTTATTCTATAATAAAAAGACAAGCTAACTGAAAAATGGACAAAGGATATGAATAGACATTTCTCCAGATAGGCAAATGCTAATAAGCACAAGGAATGATGCTCAACATCATCAGCCAAGTTGTTGTTGTGTGCTGTTAAACTGATTCTGATTCTATAGGATAAGATTTTAGCCTTGATGGGAGCAGATCGCCAGGTGTTCTCCTCTGCAGAGCGGCTGGTGGATTTGAACCTCCAACCTTCCAGTTAGCAGTTGAGTACTTAACCATTATGCCACTAAGGCTCCTTTCATTAACCAATAGGAAAACGCAAAACTACAATGAAATGTCACTCCACACCCCTAGGATGTCTACAATAAAAAACGCAGATAATAACAGGTATTGGCAAAGATATTGAAATTGGAACCTCCATACATTGTTGGTAGGAATGTAAAATGAGTCAGCCACACTGGAAAACAGCCCAATAGTTCTTCAGAACATTAAACAGAGTAACCACAAGACCTGGAAGTTCTACTCGTAGGTATATATTCCAGAGAAATGAAAACATAACTCTACACAAAAATGTGTACAGATATGTTCATAGCATTCTTTATTAATAGCTAAAAGTGGAAATAATCCAAATGCTTATCAACTGATGAATGGATAAATAAAACAGGAACAATGGAATATTACCTGGTAATAAAATAAAGTACTGGTACACACTATCACATCGATGACTCTAGAAAACATGCTAAGTGAAAGAAACCAGTGAAAAAAAGACCACATACTGATGATATGAAATGGTCAGAACATTATAAAGACAGGAAGTAGATTAGGGATCTAGGATTGATGGTGGCGAAGTTGTTGAGGTTTGAAAATGGGGAGTAACTGCTAATAGGTATGGGGTTTCATTGTAGGGTGATGAAAATGTTCTAAAACTGTAAATATACTTATGAATTTTATAGTACGTGAATTATATCTCAGTAAGATGTTAAAAATAGGGACAGTAACCAGTTGCCATCTAGTCTTTTCCAACTCACGGCAACCCCATGTATCACAGTAGAAGTGAACTCTGTGGCGTTTTCAGTGGCTGATTTTTCAGAATTGATCACCAGGACTTTCTTCTGAGTAAAAATAAGTAGATACTCAATAAAGGCATAATCAGTTGTTAAAAAAACTGTTAATTCTATTTAACTTAGTAAGTGGTTAAATATATGCCAGGCATGGCATTGAACTCTAGGGATTATGTAATAATGGTCAGGTTGTGGTCATTGCCCTTAAGAAATTTTATATAATATACTAGAACCTTAAGATTGGCTGGAGAGTGAAATTTAATAAACTGGTGTCTTCCTAGATCTCAAGTAAGGAATCCATTGTACCAAATTAAAAAAAAATGTATCATTACAAGGCAATTTCTTCTAAAATGAATCAAATCCCAAGGACATTTGGGAGGCTCAAATGTACTTCCGACATAGCCTTCCTTCATGTTATTTAGTTCAGTTCAGTAAAAACTTATTGAACATCTATGTGTTAATGTACTAGAGACAAACAACCTAGTCTTAATTTTATACCATTTTCCTAATTTGTTTAAAATGTTTTAAATTACCTTGTTCTTTTTTCTGTTTCTTTTCCAATCTTTGTTTTAGACCATCTGGTTCCACACTGCCTTCTTGAGGACTTCCTTCAGTATTTTCACTCTAAAAAATACAAAACAAAAAACGGTCAAATTCTGTCAAACTATTATTTGGAATAACATTAATATATAGTCAGTTGTATATGTATGTGGGAGCTCTGGTGGCACAGTACGTAAGACATTTGACTGCTAACCAGAAGGCTAGTGGTTTAAATGCACCAGCTACTGCTTGGAAGGAAGATTGGGCAATCTACTTTCGTAGTGATACCGTCCTGGAAACCCAAGGAGGGGTCGCTATGAGTCGGATTTGACTTGATGGCAGTGAGTTTGGTTTTTATATGTATGTATGCATCTGAGTGTGTGTATTTGTTCAGCATAATAAGATTACTGAGAGGATTTCTGGCACGATGGAGGACTAGGCAGACAAGCTACCTAGACCCCCTCTACAACAAAGACACACGAAACCAAATTAAACAGATTTGGTTGATATTCTTGGAACGCTGAGCTTCAAAAAAAGGATAAAGAAGTAGGTTAAATACAAATTAGAAGAAACTGAACAAGAACAGTGAACAAGGAGATATATGGATGGTGAATTATTAACTGACATGACACAGTGTGGCCATTTTGAATTTTTGTTAGTGTTCTGATCAGAGCAGGAAACTGATAATCAGCTCCAATTGCCCAGGACTGCACTAAAGCACACATTTCTGGCTGCCAACCAGAAAGGTGTTGCCTTCCCATAATTCTTCACACATTCCCAGTGACCAGAAATGTGGCCATTCCCCACCCTCAACCACCCAGTGGCTGGTGACACCCCCACCTGCCTGAGGTTGGAGGCACACCCTTGTAGATTGGGTGCCATGTGCATGCCATCCTTGCATTTGGAGGCAGGTGCTGTCTGTCTCCTTAGGCTGGCAGAATGTGCTGTCTTGGACTGGGTACCCTGCCCTTCCCCCAGTATTCTCCCCTGCCCCATCCTTAGTTTTTATTTTGCTCTACCTGGCAGGAGACAGAAACCATGTCTACCCTAGTTAGCATTGGTTGAGTGCCACAACCTGCTCCTGCACCACCTGATTGACAACAGATGGCGGCCAACACCACCTTATTAGCCCCAACTCCTCTATATGAACAGCAGACAAAACTGCGTATGCATTCCCACACTCCCATCCTCTATCACACTACATTTACCAGGAGACTGGTAGTGAGTACCTAAGTGCTGAAAAACTAGTGAACAGGAGCACACCTCCCCTGTTCACTCAGATATATCAAAACAAAACAAAACAAAAAACACCCCTGGGTGAAACACACCAACATACAATTGTCAATTAAGTACAACACTACAATGTCTCAGAGACAACAGACAATCTCAGTTTATACAAAGAAACAAGACAGGCTCAAATAAGTGATTAAAATACACAGAAAACAAACCTTTCTGAGGAAGAAATGATATTGGAACTACTTGATAAAGAATTCAAAATAATTATATTTAGGTGCCTTCAATGGATTGAGAGAATGATCAAGGAATACATTGACAAAATTCAAGAAGAATTCAAGAAAACAATGTAAGAACAAACTGACAAAATAAATGGAAAATTAGAAACCAAACAAAAACGGTAAATAAAAACCCAAAAGATTAATACTAAGTTTCAGAAATAGATAGATAATACATTGAGAGGGCAAAGGAGTAGAACTGAATTAATAAAAGGCAAAATTAGCAAAATCGAAGACAAATCTCTCAGAAACATACACAGAACAAAGAAATCAGCACCACAAAAAAACCCACAGCAAAATGAAAGCGATAAAATTCATATCTTTAGATAATTACATTGAATGTAAATGTATTAAGTATACAAGTCAAGAGACATAAAGTAGCAGAATGGATAAGAAAACATGACCCGTCAATATGATATCTACCAGAGAAAGACACACCTTAGGCACAAAGACAAAAGTAGGCTAAAAATCAAAGAACAGAAAAAATGTATCAAGAAAATGGCAATAAAAAACAAGCAGGAGTGGCAATATTAATTTCTGATAAAACAGACTTTAAGGCAAAAACCAGGAGAAAAGACAAGGACATTATATAATGATTAAAGGGTCAATCAAACAAGAACATAACTAATAAATATCTATGCACCCAGTGAAAGAGCCCAAAAATACTTAAACTTTAACAGAATTGAAAAGAGATATAGTTAGTGCCACAATAATAGTAGGAGACTTTAATACACCACTTTTGATGAAGGACAGACAGAACAATCAGAAAGAAACGGAACAAAGACACAGAAGAACTAAACAATACAATCAAACAACTTGACCTCAGACATACATGGAACACTGCACCCAACAACAGCACAATATACATTCCTTTCCAGTGCACCTAAAACATTTTCTAGAGTAGATCAAATGTTAGGCCAGAAAGCATAAACACATTTAAAAACACCAAAATACCACAAAGCATCTTCTTCGATCACAACACTATAAAATTAGAAATCAACAAGAAGAGCAAGAAAAACCAACAACATGGAAACTGAATAACACCCTGCCTAAAACCTACTGGGTAATAGAAAGAATAAAATTGAAATAAAAAAGAAATTCCATGAATCAAATGAGAATGAAAATGCAACATACTCGAACCTTTGGGACACAGCAAAAATAGTGCTCAGGGGGTAATTTGTAGCAATAAACATACACATCAAAAGAACTAAAATCAGAACCTTAACCCAACTCCAACAATTAAAAAAAGAGCAGCAAAAATGGCTTACAGTCACCAGAAGAAATGAAATAATAAAGATTAGCGTAGAAATAAATGAAACAAATCAGAAAAATAATAGAAAGATTCAAGACTAGAAGTCAGTTCTTTGAGAGGATTAACAAAATTGACAAACCACTTGCAAATGTAATAAAGGAAAAGAAGATATAAGTAATGCACATAAGAAATGAAATGGGAGACATCACACCAGAACCTACTGAATAGAAAGAATAATAACAGAATACTAAGAAGGACTGCCACCACTCATCTGTCAGTTTGATGTAATGTGGTGGCTTGCATGTTGCTGTGCAGCTGGAGGCTATGCCACTGGTATTTCAAATACCAGCAGGGTCACCCATGGTGGACAGGTTTCAGCAGAGCTTCCAGACTAAGACAGACTCAGAAGAAGGAAGGGGCCATCCCCTTCTCGAAGTATTGGTCAGTAAAAACTTTGTGAATAGCAATGAAACACTGTCTGATGTATTCCTGGAGAACTTTATATGAATAGCCCTGCAGGTTGGAAGTGCTCAAAATACGACTGGAGAAGAGTTGCCTCCTCAGAGTAGAGTTGACCTTAATGATGTAGATTGATTAAATCTTTCGGGACCTCCATTTGCTGATGTGGCACAACTCAAATGGGAAGAAACAGCTACAAACATCCATTAATAATTGGAACATGGAAGTATGAATCTAGGAAAATTGGAAGTTGTCAAAAATGAAATAGAATGCCTAAAGATTGATATCCTAGGAATTAGTGAGCTGGAATGGACTGGTTTTGGCCATTTTGAATCAGACAACTATATGATCTACTATGCTAGGAATAAAAGATTGAAGAGGAATGGTGTGGCATTCATTGTCACACAGAATGTTTCAAGATCTATCCTGAATGTTTCAAGATCTATCCTGAAGTACAATGCTGTCCTAATATAATAATAATATCCATATGCCTACAAGGAAGACCAGTTACTACTATTATTCAAATTTACATACCAACTACCAAAGCCAAATACGAGGAAATTGAAGATTTTTTACCAACTTCTGCAGTCTGAAATTGACCAAACATGCAATAAAAATGTATTGATTATTACTGGTGATTGGAATGTGAAAGCTGGAAACAAAGAAGAATCACTGGTAGTTGAAAAACATAGCCTTGGTGATAGAAATGATGCCAGAGATCGCATGATAGAATTTTGCAAGACCAACAACTTAATCATTGCAAATACCTTTTTTCAACAACATAAACAGTGACTATACACATAGATCTCACCAGATGGAATACACAGGAATCACACCAACTACATCTGCGTAAAGAGATGACGGAGAAGCTCAGTATCTTTAGGCAAAACAAGGCTAGGAGCTGACTGTGGAACAGACCATCAATTGCTCGTATGCAAGTTCAAGCTGAAGCTAGACAATTAAAACAAGTTCATGAGAGCCAAAATATGACACCTTGATTATATCCATCCTGAATTTAGAGACCAACTGAAGAATAGATTTGATGCATTCAACAACTATGACTGAAAACTAAACAAATTGTAGGGTGACATCAAGAACATCATGCATAAAGAAAGCAAAAGGTCATTAAAAAGACAGGAAAGGGAGTAAAGACCAAAATGGATGTCAAAAGAAACTCTGAACCTTGCTCTTGAACGGAGAATAGCTAAAGCAAATGGAAGAAATGACAAGAGCTGAACAGAAGATTTCAAAGAGCAGCTCAAGAAGACAAAGTCAGTTATTATAATGAATGTGCAAAGACCTAGAGTTAGAAAACCAAAGTAGGAGTCCTCATGTTTCCTAATCTCAAAACCTACTATTATACAGCTACGGTAGTCAAAACAGCCTGGTACTGGTATGACACATACATGGACCAGTGGAACAGAATTGAGAACTATGAAGTAAATCTATCCACCTATGGACAGCTGATCTTTGACAAAGGGGAAGAGATAATCTCTTTAACAAACAGTGCTGGCAAAACTGGATATCCACTTGCAGAAAAATGAAACAGGAGCCATATCTTCTCCCACCATATACAAAAATGAACTCAAGATGGATCAAAGACCAAAATGTAAAACCTAAAACTATAAAGACCAAAGAAAAAATAGGGACAAATTCAAGGACCCTAATACATCTTTCTCCCATGGAGTGGCTGGTGGATTTAAACCTAACACACTATCAACTGTAACTAAAAACACACAAAAAGCAGAAGACAAACTAGATGACTAGGGTCTCCTAAAAATTAAACACTTATGTACATCAAAAATTAGACCAAAAGAGTGAAACGAGAACCTACAGACTGGGAAAAAATATTTGGCAATGACCTATTGGACAAAGGACTAATCTCTAAAATTTATAGAAAATTTTAATACCTCAACAACAAAAAGATAAATAATCCAGTTAAAAAAGGGCAGAGAACATGAATAGACACTTCACCAAAGAAGACATTTACGTGGCCAACAAAGACATGAAGAAATGCTTGTGATTATTGTCTTTGTTGTTGTTGTGTGCCGTCGAGTAGGACCCGACTCATAGCTACCCCTCGTTGGGTTTCTGAGGCTGTATCACTACGGAAGTAGATTGCCTAACCTTACTTCCAAGGAGCGGCTAGTGGGTTTGAACCGCCAGCCTTCTGGTTAGCAGTCAAGTGCCTTAGAGAGTTGCAAATCAAAACAACAAGGACATATCACCTCACTCTACCACAGAAACAGAAAACAAATGCTGGTGAGGGTGTGGAGAAACTGGAACCCTCATTCATACACTGCTGGTGGGATTGTAAAATAGGTACCATTATGGAAAACTTCCTTAAAAAGTCGGAAATAGAAATACCGTATGATTCAGCAATACCACTACTAGGTATATACCCTACCCTACAGAAATAAGAGCCATGACACAAATAGCATACCCATGCTTATCACAACACTATTCACAATTTCAAAAAGATGGAAACAACCTAAATGCCCATCAGTGGATGAGTGGATAAACAAACTATAGTACATACACATACAATGGAATACTAAACAATGTTAAAGAATAACGATGAATCTGTGAAACACTATAACATGGATGAACTTGGAGGACATTATACTGAATGAATTAGTCTATCACAAAAGGACAAATATTATATGAGACCACTATTATAAAGTCAAGAAAAGGTTACCAGGGTTGGGAGGGGAAGGGATGGTAAATTACTAACTAGAGGGTAGACTCATATTAACCTGGGTGAAGGAAATATGTAGTAAGGGGAAGGTCAGCACAACATGATCAAAGCAAGGAATGACACTGGGAGGAGCACAAGAGTTAAAGCTAACAGACTCCACCCCCACTGAGTTAGTTGATTCTGACTCAGAGCAACCCTATAGGATAGGGTTTCCAAGACTGTCAATCTTTATGGAAGCAGACTGGCTCATCTTTCTCCTGCAGAGTGGCAGGTGGATTTGAATCGCCGACCTTTTGGTTAGCAGCAGCCCAATACTTTAACTACAGTGCCAACAGAGTAAGTATTATATACACAATCCTACAACAACAATAAACAGTAATAACAATAATCTACAAGTGGATGCATAGATACCAAGCTGAACAGGTGTGCAAAGGCAACTGGGACTACACCCACGAATATAATAGAACCCATGAATTAAACAAATTTAACAGAGGGTATTTCTATGTATGTAATTACATATGCTACAAATATATCCATGAATGTAGTAGAGCATACAGGGAGTAAAATTACGAAAACTTCTTAGCCATTAACAAATACCTTGAAGCAACGAGTGAGTTGTTAGGCCTGAGAGCTCAGGACTATAGTCTCAGGAGACATCAAGGACTATAGTCTTGGTACAACATAGTATACACAAAAAAATGTTCTATATTCTACTTCAGTAAGTAGCAACTGGGATCTTAAAAGCTTGTGAGCATCTATCTAAAGTGCAACTATTTGTTTTTCCCTGTCAGAGCTAAGAAGAGTGAAGAAAATTAAAGGTGCATGGAAACCTGAGACCAGAAGAATTAGATGGTGCCTAGCTACTACTACTGACAGCTCTGAAAGGGATCACATTAGAAGGCCCTGGATAAAGTAGTAGAAAAATGTGGAACAAAAAGTCATTAAAAAGACCAGAACTCCTGAGACTATGGCCCTTAGTTACCCTTCTAGCCTGGAACTAAACTCACCCTTGTAGCTATTTCAACCAAACAATTGACAGGTCTTTAAGGTAAATAGTAACACCAGGGAGGTAGGCACTCCTTAGAACAATCAAGCATTTGGCCAAGGACAAAGTTCAGAAAGCAGGAAGGGAAAGGAAAAAAAGAGCAATGTAAATGGGAAACAGAAGGAGGAAGTGGTATGGGTAATGGATGTTATATTGCGATGATTGCATGAAACAAAATGTGTATGAATTGTTGAATGGAAAACCAATTTGCTTTATACACCTTCACTCAAATCACAAAAAAAAGTAAAAAAACAAAACATTTTTAAATTAATTATTTTTAATTAACTAATTCCTCAAGAATATCTGCAGATAATTTATAGGGATATATACATTTCTAAAGTCTCTCTTTTAAGCAAATTTGTAAACCCATTCATAAGTTAAATGCTTGGTTTATCTGAAAAACAATTTATAGGTGTTTCATGAGAAATAAAAGAGAACAAAGGAATATAGATTAGTGCTTAGCTATTTAGAGGTCAAGTGCCAAAAAATTATCAGATTTTAAGTGGAAATACAGTATTTAAGGTGTTTTATTATAAAGTTCTTAAGAATGTTACCTTAATTTTCCTTTTAATTTTCTTTTCTGCCTCTGCTTTCATCTCCACAGTCACTTGGGGGATGACTCTTTTACCACATGGAGAGGGCAGGACTTCAGCTGCCTGGGCTTTCTTACCCTTTCCTTTCCCACCTTTCCCAGGAAGTCCTACTTGTTCATCTTGTTTTTCCTTGGCTTCAACAGTCTACAAGAGGGATATAAAAAGCAAGTTTATAAGGTAACAAAGACATTAAAACATCTATTATTACTTTATAGGGATAGAATAGAAAGCAATGTTAAACCCATTTTCTTACATTTTAAGATAAATTTGTAATAAACTGTCCCATAAATACATATGCCAATTGTGGAGATATAATTTAGGTACACATTGAAAAGGCTGGGACAGAAGACTGGGTTCTACTCCTGATTCTACCACTTAGCTTCTCTGAAGATAAAAGGGGAAATCAAGTTAAGGATGAAATGTATATGTATGTGTGTGTATGTATGTGTGTGTGTATTTATTTTTAGTATACTCTTGTATGAAAAGATACAGTATCAGTAATGTACTATTAGTCAACCAACTGATTTCAAGGAGTTGGGTGTCCACACTGAAGTGTAATAATATGAATCTGCATCTTAAGCCATTTAGCTTAATGTGTGAAATGAAATGCTTTTTTTAATGTTAAAATAATATTGAACACCAACACTACTAGAGAAATCCAGGGAATAAAGGATCTTCTGAAAGTCTGATTGGCTAGCCCTGAAGTCAGCTTTGTCCTTTTAAATTGACTTGGGAACTGGGGTGGTTTTCCTCCATGTTTAAACTCTTTATCTTCTCAGTCCCAATGGATCCTTTCTTTGTCAAAAATCAACATTCCTGTCCAAAAACTTCTGAATAGTATGTTTCCTGGCATCATTTACTTTATCCTACCTAACATTTGATTATCTATTTGTTTACATGTTATCTTAGAACATATCCTTATGCTTCCTATATTTTTATTTGTAATAATGAAAGTTCCTGACATAGATAAGCATATTGCTAGAAAAATGATTTCATTAAGAAAAACTCTGAGCACCTCCAGTTCTTCAATAAAAGCAGCCAAGTCTTCTTTCCACAAATCCGATGGACTCTTTTTCTTTAATGTTTCCAGTTCTTGTTCCTTCATAAGATAAACAGAAAATTAAGAGTTAATTTATAAGTATAAACAGCATTCTCATGCAGAGGATGATTATATTTTTACTTACACCATTAGAATATTACTAAGCAACATGTACCATATAACAACTCACCTTTTCTTTTCTTAGTTTGCACAGTTCATCTTTCTTTTCTTTGGTTAGGTACCAAAGGGGCATATCAAGAAGGTAGTTGAAGGTTGGTCCGGAATCTGTTACTGAGTCACTCTTTCCAGTTTCCTTTTCATTGTCACTCTCTTCATTTTCTTCTTCATCTGGAACCTGAAGGAGGAATTAAATTGTAGCTTTAATAAGAAATATGAAGCA